CTTATAGCCTTGTATCTTAGCTTTCAAATGGCTTTGGAATCACTTGAATTGGAGTTGTATGTGCTGAGATATGATTGAATGAATCAGGACTGCTAGTTGAATTGCGAACTAAAAAATCTGGGGTTGTTTTGATAAATTTGACCTAGATACATTGTAAACTGGACTGAGTGGCCTTCTTCAACATTGTAACCCTTTCTCTTAGCTTCGAAACGGTGTACATTGCACCTCAATCCGACTAGTGTCGCTTCAGTTGTGTTAGTTCCGCTAAGCAACAGCAAATCTGCCTTTTGTTTTCCAACCTACACGTCATTTCCGCACATGTCCTAGCTTGATTTGGTAATCATATGACATTGAGCCTATTGAGTGGCTATTTATGTTGTGGGTAATGTTGGAATTGATTGAGGAAAATAATGAAGCCATAAATGGCTGGGAAATAGGTAAATACAAAGGGCGTGCTGCCCAAATTTTCGCTCGAGGGCTAAGTTTCTATTTGAACTTGTATACTTTTGTTTGGCCAATACCATGACCGGTTTTCCATTTTAAAACATGATACCTCTTTAGTTTAAAACTTCAAATGCTACTTACTCCTTCCCAAAATATAGAGGTATGATTTAGGGTTTTCTCGGCCACAAGTGAACCACTTTTAAGTGAGGTTTTAAGTGTGAACGTAAGGTAGTATTGTCCTCCTTTTCACATGATGTTTATCATGACGTTTGTGAGAACCCGTAAATTCCTCTTAATAATTTTCCTAGGGTTTATCCCCTTTAATGGCATGTTTTCTGCATTTTCTGGCTAGAAATATTTTCTTGGGGAAATTTTATGAGCAATTATAGTTTTTAGATAATTTTTCTAGTATTGGAGAGTTTTTAGAAAATTAAGAATATATATTGGACGTGGGACCCACTAGTGCGAAAAGTTCTGAAAAAAATTCGGTCAATAAGGTTAAGTTTCGGATACTGTGTAAAATTTATCGGGTGTTAAGAGATAAGTAGAGAGTGAGATTGATTGATGTGAGAGGAAAAAGAAAGATAAGAATGCATTTAATGAGGTGACAAGTGTCATCTTCTCATTAGTTGGACTTTAAGAAACACTATTCACTTTCTTGACTTTTTTTTTTTGACCAAAGGATTAAATGTCAAAAATTGCACAAAATGCACCATTTTTCTCTCCTTGTGGCCGGTTCTCCTTGAGCAAAGAAGGAAGGAAATTCTTCAACTTTCAAGCTTCCATATGCTTCAATCTTCTACAAACAAAAGCCTAGATTAGATTCTACTCCATAAAAACCTTTCTTCTAGTGATAGTAAGTGTATTAGTGAAGTTTGTTTGAAGCTCTAAGGTGGCCTACATCTCTCTCTCTCTTGTTACTTGGTAAGTGATGCTAGAACACTCTACTACACCTAATGATGTTTATGTTATGCTTAGAAGTAGCTTGAGTGATGGAATATGTGATTTATTTCTTGATTTGAAGAGTTTTGGTGAAGTTTTCCATTTTATGATGAATTTTCTGGTTTCATATGATTTTGATGTTGTGGACTAGTATGATGGTTGGTAATAAGGGGCTTTGGCTCTAGTGGGTGTGAATTGTTGATAAATGCAATCAATTTTGGGTTTGGAATGAAATGTGAAAAGTTAGGGTTCATGAACCCCTAATCTGTCCGAAATTTTAGGTCATAGATAGAGGCCGAATTGGACTTTGCTCAAAACATGAAAGTTGTAGGTATTGATGAGTATGAAGTGCCTGCAACATTTCAGGGCATTTGGAGTAGTATAGAGTGAGTTATGCCGTTTTTACTGTTGCTGTTTTTGGTGAACAGAATGTCCGAACTGCGATAGGAATTGTCTGTTTTGACTGGAATTGGTTTGGATTCTGTTGTTGGTGTCTTCTTATTAAATGTAGCTGGATATCTTAGCTTTCATGTGCCTTTGGAATCAATGCAATTGGACCTGTGTAGACTGAGATAGACGTATTACAGTTTTGTGTGATTTGGGAACCTGTAATTGCGGTTCTGGCTGGGTTTTCTGCATTTTTGACCTGGTTGTGCAAGGATTTGGACTGAGAGACCTTCTACATTGTTGTAGCCCTGTTTCATAGCTTCGAAATGGTGGGTCTTACACCCCCAACCGATAATTGTAGTGAGAGTTGTGCCATTACCGCATTATGACGTCAAAACTGGTTTTCTTATCAAGGCCTACATTAAAGCCCTTTCTTAATTTCTGGTTGCCTATGATGCTTATTTATGCATATGAAACCCTATTAGGGTTAAGATTGGTATGGCTTTATGACTCGTTATCGAGTCTCCATGTTTTTGTTTGCATGTTTAGGGCTCGCTCTCATTCCGGTCTTTTCCTAGCTAACTTTTGTACTTGTACTACTTTGAGCCTAGTGAGCGGCTTTTGGGAAATGAGATGACTTTTGTGTGAGGTTTTGGGACTGATTTGAGGAAATCATGAAGCCTTAATGGCTGGAAAAGTAAGAAATTTAGGGGAAATGCTGTCCGATTTTCTAGGCCGTTTGGTTCTTTAAGTTGGATTTGCCTTTTGATGGAAATGAAGGGCTTTTGGGTTGTTGACCCTAGGTCTTCATGTTATCTTTTGTTTCCAAGAAAATCATGTTTTTGCACCCTTGCATTAGTATTTTTGGGCAAGGCGTACGACGTGTAGTCGAGCCTCACTTGTGCATTCCGTTTACTCGATTTTGGATATGAAACCTTCAATTGGTTTATTTTGATTATTTTAGGGTTTCTTGGCGATTAAGGCCAATCTGAAGTAAAAACTTTTGAAGTTGAGCCGGTGAGTGTACCACTCCCCTCCATTGCTATTTAACTTGATTTCTGCTCTGCAATCTGTTTATTGGTTCGAGACGAGGGTGTACTTTATCACACTCGTTCTCTAGTCTGTTCATATGCCAATTTACTAGCAAAATTTGAATCTGTTATCTGTGTCAGATGAAGTGATAGCCATTGTCAGGAATTGGTGTTTGTTTGTTATTCTCATGTTTGATGACAAACATGGTCTAAGTGTGGGGGAATTGATAGGTTGTATTTTTGTTATATATTTTATAATTAATTCCCTCCCATTATACTACCAAATGTTCATTAACCGGCAGATTTTATTTACTTTTGGGAATTTGTACTGTTCGTAGGAAGTTAGAGCAAAAAGTGATGGTACCAAGTTGTACACTTTCGGATTAGTGAAATTAATTTTGACGTTAGTTAGTAGAAGAGTTTGAGTAGTAAAAGGGAATAAGAGTCCAAACAGAGATTGTTTCCTTATTCGCTGGTCAAATGCGGCAGACTTGGAGTCAAATGAGGAGACTGCCTTTTTCTTCTTTTGGTAGCTTTTTCCAAAAAGGAATCAGAGGACCATAATAGAGGAACTTTTGACTTTTCCTTGTTATGATTCCTTCGGGTAGACAATTCAGAAAAAGGAACAATTAGTCATTCTTTGTAGTTTTGCTTTGTTCTTATTCCATCGAATTGAATCATCTCAATTGAGGACAATGTCCGTGACAAGTATTTCTGCGATTTTGCGTGGGATTTTCTCCACAGAGATGAACTAAATCTCTTCTTCTAGTCAAGGAACAATGGAAGTTTTGGTTCATTTAAAAATTATGAGATCGAGCTAATTTTATTTATTCCTTTTATTTACTGTTATTTGCATATTCTTTGATTGTAGTGCTTATGATTGTTTTATTAATTGAGTACCTTGGGTCCGGACGTTGAATTCATTTAGCAACCTAATGTCAATTAGAGCGTTGAATCCGTAATTGTTCAATTGCTCTAAAATAGTGGCAACTGGTATGATTAGATTTATGTTAGGAGAATATACCAGCTAATCTAAAATAACCCTAGTAGTATGTTATTTGGTTAGAATAGGGCTCCCCTAATACTGTAATGCAATTGGAGAATTAAATCTTACGGGCGTACCTAAGATTATTTCTCGATGAAAGTAGTGATTGACGGGCGTACATCAGTCATCGACATAGTAAGGAGGAGTTGACTGTCATCACTTGTTTAACAGTTATAACTTATTTAATTAGTTAATAATTGAAATTATCTCTGCATCGATGATCAATTAGTTGAATCATTATCGAAGTTATTTCTTGACTAAAGCCCGTCTAATACTGTTTGAGTTTTTACAGTTTGTCATTTAATTTTTATCTAAGTGTGATATTCAATTAGCATAGTTTATTGTTAATTTCCATAAAATCTCTCCATAACTTGAACTTTAGTAGAAACGAATTACTCCCAATCTCTATGGATTCAACCATACTTATCACTATTTACAGAAATTATATTTTATTTGAACAGATAATTATTATTGCACAGGCTCGACAATTTGTGAATTTTTTGCGCGGTTGTCGGGGACTGGCGTTAGTTTATTTGTTTTCTTTTGAGTTCATTTTCGTTTTAATTTTTTGGTGTCTTTTTTAGTTTATGCCTCGTTCCTCTCGTATAAGTGAATTAATTTTTTACCCTGAAATAGAGAAGACCGCGCATCGAATGCGAAAAGAAACCAGACAGCTTAAAGAAGAGCAATCTAGTGCTGCATCTCAGAGACTTGATCCAGAAATTAAATCAATAAGTTCGCTTGGCGATATTTCTAGTGATCCGGGTCGAGAAGAAGTCACTATGGCTAATGCACAGACACTAAGGGAGTTGGCTGCTCCTAATTTAAATCAGCAGCCCTTATGCATCACTTTTTCGATTTTAGATGATAACACCCCGTTTGAGTTAAAATTTGGCCTAATTCATCTTTTACAATCTTTTCATGGTTTGCCAGGTGAGGAATCTCATAAACACTTGCAAAGTTTGATGTTGTTTGCAATAGTATGAAACCCCGAGAATTTCGGAAGAATAGATAAATATGAGTGCATTCCCCTTCTCTCTTAAGAATGCAACAAAAGACTGGTTGTATTACCTACCTCCAGGTAGTATCACCATTTGCGAGCAGCTGAAAAAAAAATTTTGGAAAAATATTTTCCTGCTTCCCAAACTGCAAGTCTGAGGAAGAAGATTTGTGGTATCAAACAACACCCAGGAGAGTCACTCTATGATTACTGGGAAAGATTCAAGAAGTTATGCATCAAATGTCCTCAACACCAAAAAGTAAGCAATTGTTCATCCAGTAATTTTACGAGAGACTACTTTTCAGAGACAGGAGTATTATTGATACTGCAAATGGAGGGGCGTTGGTGAATAGGACTCCTCGAGAAGCATGGGAGTTGATCGAAGGGATGGCCGAGAACTCGCAGCAATTCGGTACAAGAGAGGATGTCCCGATACGCAGATTGAATGAGGTAGAAACATCTTCTATCCAACAGCAGTTATCTGAATTAACATCTTTTGTTAGGTAATTGGTTGTAGGAAATGCTCCACAAGCCAAAGTTTGTGGGATTTGCACTGCTATGGGTCATTCTACAGAGATGTGTCCAATGATTTCAGAAGAAAGTACGGAGCAAGTAAACATGGTTGGTCATGTGCTTGCGCCAAGAAAGCCATATGATCCGTACTCAAACACGTACAATCCTGACTGGAGAGATCACCCCAACCTCAACTATGGAGGAAATACACAATCAAATTTTGCACCGAATAAACAGCAAGGGTATCAACAGCAATACCAACCTCAGCAGCCACCACCTCCTCCTAACTCCGGCCCGTCTTTAGAAGAAATGATGAAGCAATTAATTGTTAGTCAACAAAAGACGGAATCTGACCTACAAAACATAAGAAATCAAATGGGTCAGATACAAGCGATGCAGAGTCATATAAGTCAGATGGCAATATCAATCAATCGCCTGAAATCCCAAATTTACGGCAAATTGCCGTCTCAACCTGAACTGAACTTGAAAAATGTAAGTGCAATGACCTTAAGAAGCAAGAAGAAATTCAAGGCCTCGAACTCACGATTCCAAAGGACAAGGATGAAGAAAAGATCGAAAAAGAACTTGAGGAGGAAGATAGGAATAGCAAAAATCCAGTGGTACTCCTTAACCCAATCATTGAAGCTAAAACTAATCCGCCTCCCTTTCTTAGCAGGTGAGAGAAACTGAAGAAGCAGGACAAGGAGAAAGAGATCTTGGAGGTATTCCGCAAGATAGATATCAACCTTCCCCTTGCTAGATGCAATCAACCAAGTGCCAAAAAAGCTAAATTCTTGAAAAACTTGTGCATTAACCAAAAAAATTGAGAAGGGATGAACAGATTGTGGTAGGTGATAACGTCTCAGTGATTTTACAAAGAAAACTACAACCTAGATGCAGGGATCCAGGTATGTTTACTATTCCCTATAAGATTGGACATTTTAATATAAAAATGTCATGCTAGATTTAGGGGTTTCTATTAACGTGATGCCTGCTAGATTTAGGAATTTCTGTTAATGTGATGCCTAAATCAATTTATGATTTCCAAAATTTAGGACCTTCGAAAGAAACAGGGATAATAATTCAATTGACTGATCGTACATTTGCTTATCCATATGGGGTAATTGAGGATGTTTTAGTGCAAGTAGATGGATTAATTTTTCCTACTGATTTTTCTATGCTTTATATTGATGATAGAAATGCTCCAAATCCATCACCTATTGTATTAGGAAGACCCTTTTTTAGTACTGCCCAATCTAAATTTGATGTTAGTAAGGGTACTCTTACAATGAAATTTGATGGAGAAGTAGTCCACTTTAACATTTTTTATACAATGAAACATCCTGTTAACTCTCATTTTGTGTTTGCCATTCATGCTACTAATCTCTCTGTGCAAGAATTTTTGAGTTCGATTATAAGGGTAAATTCAAAATTGTTGCGAACAAATACCATGGGATGAAAGCACTTTGTGAGGTGAAAATGAGTAAAAAATTAAAGAAGATGGTTGCACTCAATGACTATTTGGATCCCAGAGGAATGTCACTGAATGCAAGAAAATCTGAATTACATCCAGATTGAGGAGTGGTGTTTAACATCTAGCCAAAAACGTTAAAGAAAGGCGCTTATTCAGAGGCAACCCAATTTATTTTAGTTGTTTGTTCAATTATATTTGATAGATTCAACATGTTTTCTTGATTTTTCTAGATTTTTGTTTTATTTTCATTTTTTATGATTTGTAGGCCTCCTCTGACATGATGCGTCCGCATCAATAGAACGTGTGGTAATGTGCAATTCCCAGGTGGTTCATCAGAAAGATTTCCACCCTCATGATGCGTCCGCGTCAAGTCGCCGAGAGCCTTCCTTCAATCCAGAAGCGGACTGACTGATATGAGGCACCCGTGTCAATAGGATGCGTGATAACTTTTAATTCAACAGACCTCTATCAGAATGGTTGTCACCCTTATGACGTGCCTGCGTCAAGAGGGTGCATGGTAACTCTTAATTCACCAGTCATTCATCAGAAAGGTTCTTGCTTTCATGACATGCCCACGTCATGTTAAAAGGAAAGGTATGTTAAAAAATATTAAATTAAAAATAAAAAAATTTCATTTAGTTTCAATTTTTAAATTTCAAACCCTAAATTTCAAGATAAATAATAAAAAAAATCCGAAAACTATTTTTCTTTTTCTTCTTTCTTTCTTCTTCCTCCCTTGTTTTCCCCTTTCTCCCTTTTTGGCCGAAACTCCCCAACCGCCGCCGCACCCTTCGCCCACCAACTCTCTCCCGCCTCCCGCAACTCCGACCACGAACGACGCTGGCCACCGCTACTCTGCTGCTCCACGACCCACGACCATGTCATAACCGCCGCTGTCACATCTCCAGCCTCACTGTCGCTCCATGTACGCCGCCACACACATAACACACACACTCTCTCTCCATTGTCGTCGCTTCCCATCCAAGTTGCACGACACCGAAGCCGCCACCGCTTCATCATCTCCCTCTCTTTTTCTTCGCTAGCTTCACTCCACCGTTTCCACCTATTCCATAGCCACTCGAGAAGAAGTTTCGTTGTTCGAATTGCTTTATTTGCTTTATTATTTCTATTGAGGATAATGTCAGATTTAGGTGTGGAGGGGAGAGGAGCTGTGGCACAACTAGTATTTTTAGTTTTAGGTATTTTTCCTTTATTTCTTGTTATTTGTTCTATTTTTCTTTTTTTTTTTTACTTTGATTAGTGATCAGCACTTCTATGACTACCAGGATTGATGATGGTTGGTTGACTCTAATTCTCCTATTGTCAAGTTTTAGTAGTAAAAATGTATAAAGTTAATTTGGTTGAGTCCAAAAATATCTCTTTGATCAATATCGAAAATTTTGTGACTCTTATAATTTTTGGTTAACTTTCTAGGCATAAGGAGTAATTTTTGGCATTTTCAAGTGAATTTGTCCAATTATTAACTTTAGTTCTCCATGTATGAAGAAATGAAACTAGCTGCTGTTATTTTATGTGTTATTTTGAGGTATTTTATTGCCTGACTGTGAAAAAAAGTTGGCTGTACTCCACTAGTTATTACTGCTGAGTAACCGGGGATCTACACCAAAAGTGTCAATTCTCACGTCAAAAAGTAGTAATACTATGAGTACGTGGTCTTATAGCGATAGGAACTGAATAACCGGGTTCCTTCATCTGACAAATGTTGGAGTTCGCGTCAAAAGGTTTAATAGCTAGAGACTAAGCCTATTATTACTCCTTTTTAACGAAAATCAATCATAAAGATAAAAAAGTGTGAAAGTTGTGTAAATGTGTGTCTAAAATTAGGCTTCTGATTTATGGGTTTTATGTTGAGATTTTGGTTAATAGTTGGACATTTGTTGATAAATGTTGATCGATCATTGCTTTTTCTTAGAATAGTTAGCTATAAATTGGAATCTCGACCATTCCTTTTTCGAGGTGATGTTTCTTGGATCTCGACCATTGATGCTTGATATGTGTTTTCTCAGTATCTTGGCAATAGGAAGATGGAGTGATAGCCATTGTGGAATTGGTGTTTGTTTGCTGTTCTCATGCTTGAGAACAAGCATGGTCTAGGTATTGGTGGAATTATAAGTTACAATTTTGTTATATATTTTATAATTAATTTCCTCGTATTATACTACAAATGTGTGTTAACTGGCAGATTTTATTTACTTTCGAAAATTTGTGCTGTTCGCAGGAAGTTAGAGCAGAAAGTGATAAAAAGGAGCAAATTCCTTACCATGCCGAAATTACAGTTTTTACAGTTTGTCATTTAATTTTTATCTAAGTGCGATATTCGATTAGCATAGCTTATTGTTAATTTTCATAAAATCCCCCCATAACTTGAACTTTAGTAGAAACGAATTACTCCCAGTCCCTGCGAATTCGATCCTACTTATCACTATCTACAGAAATTATATTTTGTTGAGCAGATATTTATTATTGCACAGACTCGACAACCAGTCAATAAAGTTTAAAAAGGAATGCTAATTGACTAAATAATATGAAAAGGATAAAGACAGACCATAAATTTAAAACTAATTTAATAGGTAATTCACAATTAATTACTAAATAAACAACACTAATTATACCATAAAAAATAACACAATAAATGGAGACGTTTTTAATTAATTATAAATTTGAAGAGGATAAATAGAGAAATTATTTATGTACAAGACAGCAAGCACATAGATAATTTAGCATTAATATTACAATGGTGCATAATCGACTATTAACTACATGATGATGCACCTTATTAATGTAATAATAGCATAAAAATAAATAAACAAAAAATAAATCATTACATGGAAGGTGATTTTGTACACAAATAAGAAAACTATTAGCACTTTACTATCTTATGTTAAAAAGAAGGTAATTATGTGACGACTTCACCTCCCCCCAGGGTCGTACCCCAGGGTTTAGCGGATCGCCTGCCCAACTCTCGCCAGAATTCACTCACTCACATCAGGTAAATAGGCTGCATCCTCGAGAGTAAAAGAAATTACTATTTCCAAGTTTGGAACGTACAAATACATTCATTTCTATTTCAATCTCCATACAGTCCTATATATATCAAAAGATATGAGTTCAAATACATTCAACCCTAGTCGAGCACTAGCGCGAGTACAATCACAAAATTTAAAAACTAGACTATGCTAGCCTATACCAGTCTCACGCCCTCGCTCGTATCCTCTGTAAAGAAAATAAATGGCATGGAATGAGTTAAAAT